GGTCATCTGCCAGTAAGAAAGATTCATTGAATACATGGATAGTCATAGATGATTCATTTATGTTGGATACAAACTCCAAATCAGGCCTAGTTTGGGAAGATTGAAAAAAGACAAAAAGTCAAAAAGTCACTATCCTATTTAAGTCCCATCATCTTATTTAAGTCACATCACCTCTCTAATACATCACTTCAAACCCAAAAAAAAAAAATAAGTGAAAATTAAATCAATTGAAAGCATTTGTAAGAATTAAGGGTATAAGAGAAGGTTAATTAAAAAATTGGTCATCTGCCAGTAAGAAAGATTCATTGAATACATGGATAGTCATGGATGATTCATTTATGTTGGATACAAACTCCAAATTGAATATGTGAGGCAAATGTCAAAAAGCTAGTACAGAGTTTCTTATGATTTAAAATCATTTTGAGAACTCCTTTTGAGCAGTAACAAAACCTTGTTGGGAAAGATTACGATTTTAAGTGCCTTCATATTGCATAACAAAGACTCTAGGCCATTTATTCTAATATGGTATACAATTCAACCTCCATATGTTATGCTGTACATATAAAACAATAAAATCGATACCCTGTGAATTGCATATACTACATATTCCGTGTGTTCTTCCAGTATCCGACCATCCATTGCAGAATGTTCACCTTCAAGATCCACGGCAAACCAGTCTAGCTTTGAAATATAATGGTTAGGTGAACCAAAGCCAGCTGCATCAATATTTACGCCTCCCTTTTTGAGAGTTAGGGAAGCTTCTTGGTAAAATGTACGCTCAAGTGGGCCTCCTTGATAAGCCCTATCAGATTCTGCTGCTAATGATCTTACCTGTGAGACGGGCAAAAGAGCCACAAAAAAAAAAAAGTGAGCAGGGGCAAACAATATGGACATTTTATGAACTCTTAATACATCATACATTATATCATCAAGGCACTAGTTTTTAGTATTAAGGTATTTTAGTAATTGATTAGTTAGGGCTACTTGTTTGGTTGTGAGTCTTTTATTTATCATCCTTGATTAGGATTAGTTAGGTCATCATTATATGACGAAAGCAAGTTATGTTTGTTGAAAATATTTAATTTTAGAATATCAAACATCAAACTCTGCAAACTAAAAATAGCTAGAAACACAAATCACATGAATAAATGTGACATATAAAAAAGGCTTGCCTGCTTGTAACTACCACCATTGCCAGGAATAAAGAGGACAGGAACGCCACTAAGCTTCTTAACGTGGTCATTAAAATCAATCTTCTTCCAACCTTCATGATACAAATACAACCCATACTTTGAGGATGATACATTTGCAGGAGAGGAGATCGGAATATATTGAGGGTACATGTATGTCATGACACAACCATTTGAAATTGGTTTTACCAAACCGTAAATAGCAGCAAGACCAATCCATATGGAAATAATAACCACGGCTGCTACCCTAATTTTAGCTTTGAAACCTTGCATTGTTGTACTAACTTCCATTCCACATCAACTTTTTCCCCCGAGATGGTCCAGTGCATGTGAAAAAGTTCAACGTTGATGAACAACCAAAAAAATTAGTAATACAAAGTCAGAATTGAAGAAATTTTAGCAATCATACACCACCAAAATATGTAAACAGTTGTATCATTTGTCCTAAAAGCTAAAGAAGATAAACATAATAGATTATTAAAATGCACAGAGAGAAACAGTGATAAGCATAATTAGATTAACCAAATTGCTGCAAGAGAGCACATAATTATAAGCATTCAAGCAAGAAACGTGAAAAAGCAAATTATAGAGAAGAATGAACCCAACCAGATTGATCAATTACAAGTAACAAGAAATCTTTAAATATACATTCGTATCTGCTCCGTTTGGTTAATGAGAAAAAGAAAATTTTGAATCTGGAATTCATCACAAAAACTGAAATCGATTGAGGGCAGGGCAGGGGAGGGCGAACTGATTTGTGAATCGGATCTGGATAATGAAGAAGAGAGGGAGGAAGAAGAAGGTCAAGTGGAGGCGTAAAGTTACCTGATCGGAGAGATCTGCCAGAGAGTGTTCGTAAGATTGAGCCTTCAACCAGAGACAGAGCAGGGACACACTACTATTGCTAGGAAGAAAGTAGTGAGTTGTATACTGGGAAAGTGATGATTATTATGTAGTCGGTCGGACTGGGATTTGGCCCGTTTGGGTGAGCACGTTGTTGTGTTCCGTTCGATCTTAAAATTTGGCGAGGGATTTATAAATGACAAAATAAAATCAAAGGAAAGTGTTAATTTCATATTTTAAATCGATAAATAAAATTACAAATTATATTATTTAGAATAATAATATTATAAATTTACATTTAAGACCCCAAATATACTTCAATAATGTGGTAAAAGAGGTTGGATACGTGACAAATTAACAATTAACGTCTATCATTATATATTATTATAAATGAAATTGTAGGGATTTTAATTTGAATGCCCAAAGTAAATAGGTCTTTTGGGATGTGGGTTATAATTCACTTCCCATATTATAACTCACTTCCCTCTCTCGCAAAAAGCTAATTATAACCATTTTCTCAAAATAGCTCAAAGTTTCCCAAATCTTAAGTAATGAAAAAGTTTCCCAAATCCTAAGCAAATAGGAATGAGCAGCGGATATTTCGATTTGTCCAAATCAATTGAACTGATCCGTCATATTTTGAACGGGTGCATGATAATAAACGGACGGTTACGAATTGATTTTTTCAATCCGTCTAGTTTTGGACGAATGGCAGATTTGAGATTACTTTGGCCGTAACCGAACAGCCAAACTACAAGCACCCCTAACAATTTGTAAGACTTTGTATCTTCAATTTATTTAGCTATTCTGTTTGTGTTTTCAATTGAAAAAAATTTAAATATTCTATTGTGTTTTTAATTTGGAAATTCTTTGATCAAATGACAAAAAGTATTTTTGTGTGGAAAATATAAGGGTTAGTTTTGTTGTTTTTTTTTTAAATCAAATTAAATAATTTTTTAATAAAAAAAATAATGAAATAATTTTGATAATGCATGATTTTCTTATATATATTTATTATTGGTATTTGATAATCTTTTGAATATGTTGAGTTGAATTGCTATTAAAAAAAAAATAGTGACAAGTTGTTGTATTATGTTCAAAATTTATAAAAATTTAAAATGCTTAACCGATTCGCATCTATCTATCAATCCGTTCAATCAACATTCTTTATTTTGATAAACTGATATGGATTAATTTTTTGCGAACACCACTGCTAAGCAATGAGTAATATGATGTGTTTTAAAATAGGGTTTTTTTTTTTAAGCTCCCTAATAATAACAATTTTCTGCATAAAGGACATTAAAAAATGTAATACTGTCTCAGGTCCCTAACCAAAATGCCCGGGCATTTTATCAATTTCTTGGACCAAAATACCCTACGTCTGTTCATCTTCAGATGAGTTGATTTTTTTGACCTGGCTATCGGATATTCTCCTTTGTGATGCTGGTACTGGTGTTGGGTATTTTTCGGCGAGTACGAAAACAAATTCAGCAAACAAAAGCACTAAGTTTGGCAAATTTGATTTTCTAGGTAAACAAACAGAGTAGAGTGGAGTTGATAGATGTATATATATATATGATACATGCATATATATATATATACAATCTGTTGCTTACTGTCTTGACTAGTATATATATGATAATTAATCAATTAAAACCATTTGCAACCATAATCAAACAGTCACTCTTAGTTATCTTATCTATGGTTGCAAACACACACATATATATATATATATAATACATACATATATATATACAATGTCAGCACACACACACACACACACACACATATATATATATATATCTAGTGTTGAATATAACATCTTCAGGTTCAAAATTTCTCTGTGTTGAATATAACGTCTTTTGATTTTTTGGGTCTAGTAGAATTGGAGTTGTTTTTGGAAAAGTAATATTTGGACCCCTACTTGAAGAATATTGGAAAAAGAAGCTTGATGAAGAGGCAGCAGTAGAGGAAGGCTTAAAGTGATCCAGAGAAATTTGAATTTTCTCTGGATTCAACCCAGAGAAATTCATACCATTAAGTTTAAAGAAAATTTATCACAAACTCGTAGAAGAACTATTAATTTGTTTGTGCAGGGAATTGTGATTGAATCAGCAGCAGCAAAACCAATGACAAATTGATCAAATCAGAGTTTTATCGTTCCGGAGAAATTCTAGACCAGAGAAATTTGAATTTTCTCTGGATTGAATCTAGAGAAATTCTTTGGAAGTCCAAAATTTCTTTGCTTCCAACTGATGATGGGTTGCTTTCCTTCCAACTGTCAAAATTGAACTGCTTTCTGTGCATTTGAGGCTTTTTATTGAAGCTTCTTATGTTCTTGTTTTTGTAAATTTCTCTGACTTGCTACATTTGTGTTTCTCTATTGTGTAGGAAGTCCAGAATTTCTTTGCTTCCAACTGATGATGGATTGCTTTCCTTCCAACTGTCAAAATTGAACTGCTTTCTGTGCATTTGGAGCTTCTTATTGAAGCTTCTTGTGTTCTTGTTTTTGTAAATTTCTCTGGCTTGCTACATTTGTGTTTCTCTATTGTGTAATTTTATCTGGCATGTTTATGTTTCTTCATTATTTTCTCAAGCAAATTATTTGTGGCTTACTACTCTATTGGTGTGGCTAATTTTCTCTGGCCAAATTACTTTTCTTACTTGTGTGTCTAATTTTCTCTGGCAGCATTTATAATTTTCTCTGGCCACATTATGTTTATGTTTTGTGTCTGATTTTCTCTGGCATATTTATTTTGTTCAATGCTCCATTTCCTCAAAATTTCTCTGTTGTGTAATTTTCTCTGTCATGTTTATATTGCTACCTTGTAATTTTCTCGGTTGTGTAATCATTGCTACCTTGTAATTTTCTCTGGGATTTAATGTTTATGTTTTCATTCTATAGAAATGGAAAAGCGCAGAAGCAGCACAACCCCAGAAACCCCGAAAAAGAAACCAAATGTCTCTGTGTCTGCGTCTTATGATCTTAGATCAAAACGCAGTAGCAGCACCAGAACACCACAAAAAAAACAAGTTCAAGTTGAAGATAGAAATAACAAAGCGCAGAAGCAGCACAACCCCAGAAACCCCAAAAAAGAAACCAAAAGTCTCTGTGTCTGCGTCTTATGATCTTAGATCAAAACGCAGTAGCAGTACCAGAACACCACAAAAAAAACAAGTCCAAGTTGAAGAAGCAATAAGCATCAAGATCAAGACACCAACTTCAATGGTGATTTTCACTCAACTACAAGCTTAACATTTTCTCTGTCATTTTCATTGGATTATAATAACAAACCTACGATTTTCTCTATACTACAAAGAAAAGTCTAGAAACATCAGAAAACTTTGAAAAGTGCAAACATATAAAAACACATAAAAACACAACATATAAGTCCAGAGAAATTTGTAATACTTATCATTTGTAATACAATCATATGATTTTCTTTGGACTACAAAGAAAAGTCCAGAGAAATCTGTGAACTTATATTCACTTTCAATATAACAAAAACAAAATCACATTAACATCAAGAGACGAAAATATATTAAACACAAGCACATAAAAAAATCACAGAGAAGATCTGTTATGTTCACAAAACATTCAATTCAAAAAATTTAAAAAAAAAAAAAAAACAAAACCCTTACTACTCTATTGCTACGTCTGTAAATTTCTCTGCCTACTTACAATTTTCTCTGTGATTTTCACTGCACTACAAGTTTACAATTTTCTCTGTGATTTGAGTTCAATTATAGTAACAAACCTGCAATTTTCTCTGCACTACACAAAAAATGCAAAGTGAACAAAAAACAGAGCATAAAAACGCAGAAAAACAGAGCATCAAAAAACAACTCATAACCATGTTGACAGAAACGCAGAAAAACAGAGCACCAAAAAGCAACTCATAACCATGTTCACAGAGAATGAAAAGCAACTCTAAAAATTAAAATCAATTCCATCGAAAATTCATCAATAACAGATAATGAAAAATTAACTTCAAAAATAAAAAACAACAACACTGAGTTCGTCTCTCTCACATCAAAACTAAAAACAAAAACATAATTCAACACCTACACGATCAAA